CATTTCTTGTGGCTATGCAAGGCATTTTTACATATCTTAGAGCTAGGAAACACTCTGACAAAGAGCAGAATTGTCAAAATATTTAGATTTCAGGGGAACTGAAACTGTGACCAAGCTCGGTAAACAGCTCAACAAGAAGGGAGAAAGCTGCTGAGAAACTGAAATGTTTCAAAATGTAAAAAGAAAGCAGCTTTCACACTCTTTTTTTGTTTAATACTTGACCTAGAAAAATAACCACATTATACTCAAGTCCTGTGACCATGGCTGATGACACAGCCGTTCATGACAACGACTTCTCGTCTATTTTCTTTCAAGACTTCTCACGCATTCAATACCTAGAAAAAACAGTGCCCACCTAATTTGGAGATATTTTGTGTTCCATTTCTCCCTTGCTGTTCAGTGTTGGCTGTGCATATTCTTGTTTTTCAAAATCCCGCTCTGAAGACACTGAGTTGTTTGGGCCTGGTTTTCTATCACAGGCAACGCTGCAGCATCCAAGCGCAGGAACAAACACAAGGCAGAACACCATCCGCTCTGCTGAAACCCTTTTCATTTTTCTTTTCATGCAGAATTTTTCATTTTCACACAGAGATAGAATCATAGAATGTTTTGGGTTGGAAGGGACCCCTAGAGGTCACCTAGTCCAACCCCTCTGCCGCTAACTAGATCAGGGGATTTTCACACAGAACACTGTTCACTCTGCGGGAACACTTCTTTAATTTTTTGTTCTCACACACAAGTTTTCCTTTTTCACACAGTTTTGACAGTCAATTACAATTTAGGTATCAAAGTTCAAATGAAAAATTCAGATGCATTTGTTTTTGAAAACATCCAGCATTTGATTGCTGTTGATAATAACTACATTTCCGTATGTTCAAAACACAGTTTCTGTTCTGCGTTGTACTAAGATTTCTCTAGAGCTTTCTTCTGCAGGCTTCCCTCTTAGACTACGTGCTGAGCAGCTTTCCATCCCTCAGAAAGCTCGTATCTCTGCTTCTTCCCCTCCTCACCTCAGCACACCAGTGGCTTTGCCCTGAAATACAGACGCCATCTGAGAAGATCCCGCCACCTGTCAGGTGTCCGCGCTGCACGTGAGGGGCTCTGTGTGCCGCCGGCACGAGGCCCCGGCCGACCAGCAGCAGCTCTTGCGAGTTGGGTGGTTTGAAAGGTGGGAAGGCGTATCATAAGGAGTGCGGGGCTTGTGAGGGGCCTGCCGGGCCAGGTGTGAGGGGGGAGGACCGGGAGGCTCGCGATTCTGGTGCTGGTGCTTCACACCGCGCAAAGCCGAAGCCGCCAGCGGCAGCAGCTCCTGCATGCGGACAGGACTGCAAGGCCGGGATGTAGGAGCACTCACTGTCATGGAGTTGTTTCGCTTGTGGATGGGGAATGTTTGTAAGAAACTTCTGGACAGAAAACCCCATAGAGCAAGGCAGGTAAACACAATTATGTTACTCAGTGGCAGTTCCTGTGAGAGTTCTGAAACCTTTAACAATATTTATCCCCTCACACAAATGGGAATAGAGGTACAATGTTACCAGTAAGTAAGTAAAAAGTTCACAGTAAGGACAGGAAGAGTTACTTCTCAGACCTGCCTCCTGAAGCTAATTTTAATATTTTATACTTATTTAAATATGAAAATTCTTTGCCTGTTTCCAAAGTAAACATTTAATATCTGGTTGAGTCACTTTCATTTTTTTTCATTGGTTCCTTCTTGCTTCCTCCTCCACCCTCCAGCACTGCTGGAGAACCCTCATACTCTTTGGGGGGTTTCTTTGCAAGCACTCATTCTCTCAAGACTTGGTAGAGAATGGAAGAGTGTGGGGAGAAGAGAAAGGATAATTCTCTTGTTCTTTATGTGTTGCTAAGTTATAGTGCCCGGGGGACATTTATGTGATGCAAATGAACACTGATGGGAATTTATGGGGCTGTAGTTTTCCATGAGTTTGAGAGTTTAATGTTTAACATATTTTATCATAAGTTCTGCTGCTTATTTTTTATTATTTCATGTTTTCCCTTGACATCATAACTCAGATAATGCAAATTTAGTAAAATTTGTAGAAAATTATATTTCACCTCAGTTTTACAGAGTACCATAAATTATACACACCCTGGAGTAGAAAAGGGACTGTACAAATATCAGAGAAACTTAGAAATTCTCTCAAGGTAAACCAAAGGGGAAAAGGAACACTGTTTTTCCCCAGTAGCATCAAAATAAAGCAACTCAATGAAGTGCTTGGTCACTAAAAAAGTAGTCTTAAACTTTTAACAATCAATTTGTAACCTCATCTAGCTCTGCTGAAACTAAAATCCTCTCTTCTCAAAGTACGCCCATGTGTCAGATCCTTTCTGATTGCATGTAAACTCATAGATGCAACACAGAAATCCTGTTATTCCCTCCATTGTTCCCCAGGTAAATGCCCTTAGGGTTGGGACTATTAAAGACTGAGACATCTCAAAGATGGTGTCAGGGAACAGCAAGGGAAGCCTGGCCTAGAGAAGGAACATGAGGGGTTGAGCACAATAACACAGCAGAGGCAGTGGCTGCAATGACATTTTTCAAGGAAATTAGATTTCCCAGTGCTTAAGACACAAGGTCACCTAACAGCTAGTGTCTGAATAATCCTGAGGAAGAGACTAATTATTTGTTCAAGACTGTGTCTCAGGACAGCTGAAAAAAGTAACTCTAGAGATCTGGCTTAAATGGCTGCAAATCTCCAAATTCCAGCCCCAGAGTTTGTTAGCCATGAGATACTCCAACTGAAACATATTGTGTCCAGGAGAAGTACAGATACAGACTATTTGTTAGTATAAATTAAACAATTTGACTAAAGGAGACATTCATTTAGCTCCTTTGCTCATCCTCATGCGCTGTTTTGTCTGAAATGCATTAGTTCATGTACTGAAATGGTGTTTAAAAGAAAGATTAACGTGGCTCAGTGGACTATCCCTGCTATTAAAAACCACTATAGGAGTACTGTGTTTGTATAGACACTATGAACAATGGAAGAAATATAAATACATTTACATTTTTGACAAAACGTCATGTAAACTGAAGCATTAGTAGCTACGGAACAGTAGCAAAACACAAGTACAACTTGCAAACCTTATATCCTGATTTTAGAGACTTACACCAGCATTGGTGCTCAAGGCTAAAGCTAGTCTGAACAATGGGACCTTACCATCTGCTACGAGTGAACCTGAACCTTGTTAGAATGAGCCTGTTCCATGGTGCATCACTAATTCTCACCTTTCAATGCCATTTGCTTTAGTCTGAACTGGAAATCAAGCTTTCAGATCAAAATGGCAAATGTAATTCCAGTGCTCCGATACAAATAATTAGAAAAGGAAAAGTAATTTGCCTTTTCCCATGTTTTGGGATGACTTTTATTTCAGAGAAGTAGAATTGTCATGTCCAGAGTGGATGTCATACATGACATTTTTAGACCGAAGATCAGATTCTCAGTGTAGTAGTAGAAATACAGAGGTCAAAAACCACCTTTCTACTTCTCTCTCTTCTATATTCTGGCCAAATAGGAGGACAAAACTATAACTGATTTGCTAGGACTATGAACAGATGTATAGCCTGCATGGAGGCAACGCATTTCTTTCTTAAAACAGTTCTTTTTCTTGGGTGTCCTCTTTAGGTCCTTAAGGACATTGGAGATCAGGAAGCTAACATTGCTGCTCTCAAACGTGCCTACCATTCAGAGTCAATTGTCTGTTCTTTATACAGTGAGGAAGAAGTTACAGTTAACCCAAACGCTTTGTCCCATCTCAGGCACGCTCATTTAAGGTCCTGATTCAGCAAACCATCCACGTGCAAGCTTTTCAGTACGTACCTTGCCTTTAATGGGATTTAAGGACAGGAGCAAGTCCTTTGCTGAATGGGCATGTGTGTAAGTGCCAGGCTTATACGGTTTGTAGTTACTCAGTTTGCATAGCACACAGGGTTCTTGTTTTCCCAGGAATATGTGCCTTCTCTGCAGGCAGATTGCAGTAAAGCACTTAACCCGTTTTCTTCCTTTTTATTTTCTAAATCAAAATTACATTGAAGACAGAGGGTCAATGGCAGTGCAAGGACGAGAGTGCCCTCTATTGTCACTGTGCTCTCCAGCACCTTCCCTCCCTTCTCCAAGTGCTCTGAAGAGACGCCTCACAGCCTCTTTTTTTTTTTGTCCTTGCTGCACAGTGATGACAACCCCAAAAAATTTAATATAGTTCAAGCATAAGCTGTCTTTACCTCTCCAAGTGGAAGTTAAACCGGGGATGCCGCAGCAGCTGGATTTCACAAGCACCTGATCTGTGATGAGGCCAGGGTCACACAAATTGTCTTAAGAAGGAACATTAGGGTGTGAGGATGGAGTGACGTGCAAAAATGCATCAAATTGAACGGCTTAAAACCAAGGGGCGCTGCAGGGCCCCACGGCCTTGTCTGGCAGGGGTCCTCTGGGCCTTGGGGAAAGCAGGGAGGGGGCACGCAGCACCTCCCCTCGCCTCTACCACTTGCTGGGTAGAGACTTCAGCCTGTCTTCTCGCCAACGGAGTCGCGCGTGGGAATTACAAGCGCTGCAACGTGGACCGAGGCCTGCGTGGGGAAATCCCGCCGCGAGCC